CTATCTATCTATCTATCTATCGACTCTATTCATTTGCCTATTTGTCTAGCTATCTATCTTCTCGGTGATGATTCTAACTTCACTCACATTCGTCCAAAAAGTTAGAGTAAGCTCATCAACCAAACCAGATATGCCAGATTACGCAACCACAGTCAGGCTTTTCCTTGGTTTGTTAAACCATAATGCTCCTAGACTGAGAAATTAGGACAAGTGGTTTCGTAACTTGACCAGATCAAGTATTATCATTTGATCCATCCGGATTTTAGGTCTGTATATTTGTCCAGCTGTCCATCTACTTCTTCATTTATCCCTCAACTTCACCTGCCATTCACCCATCCACCTATCTTCCATCTTTTCCCACATTTACATCTAACTGTCTAGCTATCTACCGTCATTTTGTCTATCAAGCCACATTTTAATTTCCCACTTATTTTGCTGTTTTGCCCTTAAATGTCCACCCTCTTGTCAGCTATTCACACACATCAAGTGGCCGCTTGTTTATCTATCTATCTATACATCTATCTATCTATCTACTCGATTAATTTGCCTGTGTGTCTAGCTATCTATGTTGTTATCATTTGATCCATCCGGATTTTAGGTCTCCTATCCCCATTTCTTTTTCACACCCCGCCTTCGATATCTCTTCTAGCCAGCCTCCATTTGAAGATGCCCCTCGGAGTGTCTAAACTAAACTGAACTTTTGATTTCAGTCTCATATCTTCTGGGGTTTCATCGACGCCGGCCTATCTGTTGTAGACTTTTATGCTTATCGCCTCGTGTCTGTGTGCCCCTTGATGAGTGTGCTTGTGTACTTTTGCCAATGTGTCAGTTTCTTCTTGCCATTCTCTTCCGCTTCGTTGCCCCTCGATGCAGTCGGCAGGAGGCAGGCCTGGCTGCTGTCTCGACCAAACTTGCTGCCTCGCAGCCTCGCGCTGCAGCCGGTGACCTTGTTCAGGCAACTGGCCAATCCGGCCCGGCTCTGGCAGGCATTTGACGTCGGTCGCGGCTCCTCTTGCTCCGTTTCTCCATTTCACACGAGCACTCGACAACAGCCTACCTGCCCGCCGCGGCGAAAGCAGGTCACTATCTCTCCGTCCCTTCTTCCGGTCGTCTTGACACACACACACACACACACACA